TCAGATTAGAATTAGAGTTAAGGTTAGTGCAATTTTTTAAAAAAAACTTGTCGGTAAAATGAGCTGTCGTTGAAATAAACTTGTCGGTGAATTGATTGTCGGTGAAATGAATTGTTGGTAAAATGATTGTCGGTGAAATGATACGTATCCGTATAAGATACCCATGTATACCTATCACACGGTTTGAAAGATTTAATTTACATTTCACTTTGTTAATAACAATTCTGAATCGTTACAATTCTGAATCGCTCTAGTACGTAGATACTATTTACTACAAATGTACTACCACGTATATTGAATCAAACAATATACATTTATTATATTAATATTCAAACTTTTGTAGTTAGAACTATTTATTTGAATGAACAATCCTTTATTAAAACCAATGTTTACAATATAATAAAGTAAGGTAAAATCACGCTTGACATTCAACAAATTGTTGATCTTCGCCTTTACTAAAAACAACTTTTTGCTTTACTTCTGATCCAGAAGAACAAATACGTGAACTTAAAAAATTTGTCCAAGTTTTAAAAGTACTATCTTTTATAAAAAGATTATAGTTAATAAGAATAAGAAAACGTCTCTCGATTGCATTAATATCTTTCACAGGTAAACCAGATATCTTTGACCAAGCGCTATTGGCATAATTACGATCTTGAAGATATTTCGATGCTATTATAAGAGATGCGAGAAACATCCGACGACCACAGGTAGCTGGATCACATTTGTTATCAGATTTATCAGTCAATAATCCGACTTCAAGTGTTGCTATTTGGGGTTTTATTCGTAAAAGATAAAATAATGCTGTTTGGAGGGTGGACCAGGAAGTTCGAGATCTTCGTAAAGTTTCTTGAATGAACAGACGAAGTGGAATGACTTGAGGATTAAGACTTATGAAAAATTTATTCCAAATCACATTGATAATTAATGCCGTTGTGTCTATGTAAAATTAATTATAAATAATTTAATATTAATTTTAATACAATTTTACAATAATTTAATGCTAACCAATATAATTATATACTTTACCAACTATGTTTTCTAACATGACAATCTTTTGATGATTTTGATTATTCAACCGATTCAGCCGATCTGTATCGTATGTCTTTTGATTCTGGTGGCCATCATTTCCAATTTGGGTCAATTCTTGGATATTATTAGTCATCATGCATAATATATCACCCTGTATGTTACGAGTATTACTAACGCTAACATTAAAGCTAACTAAACAAAAGAAATAAATTTTTAGTGTAATTTGTAATATTTTTAGCGTGCTATTTAAAAATTACTAGTAAAATTCTACAGTAGTAATAAATAAATTAGAATCTTATTTTTTTAAAAATATTTATTTCTTTAAAAAATATGTAAATACGTACCGTCTTTTAATTGATGATCATCGTTGAATATATAAGTTGTCATTTCTTGTTTAATTATTTTAAATTTGAATGAACGAAATATGCCTTAAATGTGTTAACAAGAGAGCATATATATTTATCCCACGATAAAAACTTTCGCAAAGCCTTTCGTGAAGCCTTTCGTGAAGCCTTTCGTGAAGTATTTAGTAAAGTCTTTAGTAAAGTCTTTAGTAAAGCCTTTTTTGTTTATTTTGTCAAGCGCCGCTTTACCTTTTTATTAAATACTGTAAACCTTTAAATTTTGCCAAAAGTGCGAACAAGTGCTTTATATATACTTGATTTATTATTATGTATCATCATGTGTGACTCACAATAAATGATGTATCATTTTGGATATATATGTAGTCTCATTGTTTTAGTTAGTTTATGACTCAAATTTGATAATCACTAAATGTACTACTTATTCATTTTAAAATAACAGATTGCGGCAAAGAAAAAAAATTTGTTTTACTTTGCCAGTTAAGTAAGTTCCAAGGAAATACTTTTTTCCACTACAAAAGTAGATTGTTAAATACGCAGTATTCATTTTACGTACAGTACGTACGTACGTACGTACGTATGTTAGATGTATATTACATACATAACGATAAATGCTTAATTCAGTAGTAATTACATACGTACGTACGTACGCAGAAATATGGCTTAGCCGGCTTAGCCGACCTCATGACTAATTGCCGACATATAAAGGCCGCAGTTAAATCCGATCATTTTTTCACTAATATTGTGACGTAGATCTGTTTGACCCGAATTACGTACCGTACGTAGTACATTTCTATATTAATAATCTTAGTACGTACTTATTAATATTCAAGCTCCATTTACATACTGCTTTGTGTAAATTAAGTAAAAAGTTATGTTTATATAAATACGCATAAGTTCACTGCTAAATTTAGCAATAATAAATACGAGAAATACAATAATAAAGTCGAATATTTTTATGTTGCGGTTCTTACCTCTTTCTTACCTCTTTCTTACCTCTTTCTTACCTCTTTCTTACCTCTTTCTTACCTCTTTCTTACCTCTTTCTTACCTCT